ATTTTCTAACAATGCTGCACTTTGACTAGTTTTATGATGAGAATGAATTCTGTTCAATTTTTTTGGCATCAGTGTAATGATGTGTCTAATTAATCTAGCATTTAATTCCTTGGTTAAATCAAAAACAGACATTCCCAGCTGGATATTCCATCCAAAGGCTTCTCACGTTTTCTCATTTTCTAAATTAATTTCCCAGATAATCTATTCTATCGCCATATTTATTGGTGTAGAGATATAAAATTACACATGCAATAATAGGGGAGTTTATCCATATGGATATATTGAACAATGGATAAATCCAGCCTTACATTTTTGAGTTGTTCAGACAGAACATTTTGGACATTTGAACACAGGTGTGTAACACACACATACACATGAATTTCCTGATTAAATGTGTACTTTAGTTCTATGAATGTGTGGTCTGAAAGTCATCATTTGTTTTGCAGGACCACGTGGCTGGAGCATGAATGGACCTGACTGACACTGAGAGGTGACTGTTGGAAACCTGCACAGGTCACATGACCCTCAAAGCACAAATCAAATCTTACATCATTGCTTCATTACCCCAAATCCTTTAACACAAGACAAACGTAGCTCTTCTTCTCACTGTATTAATGCAACAGCACACTGTGCCTTCCTCTTCCATGCATTGATACCAATCAAATTTTTCCCAACACTTTGCGATTGCTTACTATAATATATGTCTCCGTCTGTTGCTGTCAGCTGTCGGACCGTGGTGATGAGTTTCCTTGACAGTTTTATGAACATTTTCTGAGATCTGGATCTCGGTAAGGCCACATGATTAAATAAAAGGAGGGATGAAAAATAGAAACACACACACGCAGACACAAAGGAGGCTGATGGAGGAGCACTGATGTGCTGTGGCTGCTGAGAGGAGTGCTGACACAGCCACCACTGTCCCATCATCGATTGGTCTGAGCAGAGGGAGTGGAGGGGGTGGTATCATGGTCAGGAGACACAAAGGGAGAAAGTGGGAGAGAGCGCTCTTTGCTTTTTATCTGCTCCTGTGGGGAGGGCAGCGACTCCGTGCTCGACTCTGCCTCAGATCTCAGGGTGTGTCGTGTTTGATTCCTTGCAGGGCTGAAAGAAAAGCTGCCAAGTTTACAAACTGCTTTGCAAACACACACAGGACCTGAGGTGAATAAGTGAGGATTGGGAGGATGGAGAATCTCTTATCAGCTGCTACGTGATTTGGCAAAAGTCTTTGTGTCAGACTCTCTTTCTGAGGCGACCTCAACATCCTTTTAGACTCAGGGTTAAGCGGCTGGATTCAAACCCCAACCTGTCAGGTGGAGACAAACTCCATTTCTGTGAGCACGTAGCAGCCCTATAGAAAAGTACAGTCTAAATTATTATATCCACCTCACTTTATTCACACTGTCATCTCTCATTTTGCGTAATACCCGTCTCCTCTCTTTTTTCCCGTCTCCTCCCTGTTTGTTATTCCACTCCTGTATTGCCTCTGTGTATTTTTTTTTTAATTTCATCGGTTTAAACACAATTTCCAATTTTTATAAATTTATAGCACCAGGAGAATAAAGGTTTATTTTTCAAGCAGATTTCTGTAATGTTACCAATCAATTTATGTGGCTGTTTACGTCGGAACCTTAGAAATTTGGAGAACTTTGTAACAGTCTGGTGTTTCTCCCAGGAGAAGTTTCTCCACCCGGTCGTTTCAGCCACCCTGAACCAGAAACTCAGATTCACGTCGACCTTTTCGCAAAGCCTGGAGGATTATTTATTGCAATATTAATATGATTTTGTTCACACCACCCAGCCTGGATTTATTACAGTGACATGAGTGCACAGCACTCTTTACCTGAGAACCTCAAATGGCCTCCAGAACAATGGGAGCACTTGTACATACAGCTCAATAATATGTCAGTAACAGTATGCACTTCACACTGACGGCAGTTACTGTGATTTATTTAATAAATATAAGTGAGATAATAGGCTGCATATTATTTCACCGCCTGAGAGATAAAGCCCAGTTGAGCATTATAGAGTCAAATCACAGATGTTGCTGCCAGATCTGTTACAGACGACATGTAATTCAGGCTCGGTTAGAAACTAGCGTGTCCAAGAGGAGAACGGGTGTTCAATCTTTAATAGCTAACAAACCATGATGAAAATTACACCTGGGATAAATCTATGTTTACATACTGTATATACAGATACAGCATGTGGTATGAAACATCAATGCCTCACCGGCTGAAACCTCCGAGGGTGATTATTTAACGGCGGCCTCCCATCGACATATGCTAATAAATAGGCAGCACTGCCATGTCTGTATCAGGCCATTCAAAGTGCTTACTGAATTAAAAATTGATATTGCTCATATTGCTCTCACATACAGAACCATGTAACCAGCCATGTGCTCATGAGTTCTACTCCACGAGTACCCATGAGCCCCTGGGGCTACGGCTTTGCTTTTGCAGCACGATACACAAAACCAGACAAGAATATTGGATTTTTTTTATATTCGTTTATTTGTTTTCTTTATTTTCTTGTCCAAATTAAAAGCAAAAGGTGTCACTGATTTAATGCTGCAGAGGCTGCTGGGTTGTAGTAGAGTGTGTGATAATAGCTGTGTAAGTGGTTGAAACATTTTTACTCCCCCCTTAATATTTTTTGTGGTGTATTGTTTGTAAGCTCACAAAAATAAACATTTTAAGCAGCTCCCATGGTCCAGTCACTGCTGCAGTGCAGTAAACTACCATCCCCATCCTCTGTCTGTGTTACTGTACCATCACGGTTCAACTTTTAGATCCCATTCGTGTTCATGACACCACACAAATAAACACCCTTTTGTCAAATTAATTGTTTCAACTTTGTATATTAAAAAAACGTCGTTTTCATTTCACAGGTCTGTTTTAATGTTTGAATGTTGCTGCTACTTAGAGGGTCGACTAATGTAAGACGGTGCTGATTGCAGTCACTTGGACCAAAACACAGTCAAGTCTGCCCTCGTGTGGCCTAATGTGATAAGAGGTTTCTACAGCCTAAAGAGTTTTATAATAACACTATCGTGTCTTCTCTGCGTTAGAATCGATTCACGTGATCATGCCAAAGATAATTCATTGAAAAGAAAGAGAGTCATTACTGTGCATTTGTAATATAATTTATAAATACATAATAAAAACAGTTTTATTCCACACCAGGCGATATTTTTCATGTTGATAACATATGATTTCCCATGGTTTTTGGATTTACGTTCAATAATTTACTTTGGATTTAGCAGCATCTGCAGGCAATGTTTCATGATGATCGCATGATGATATACATGATGATGTACAAATTTTCCTATTGTAGAAAGATGATTTCAGTTGAATATAATTTGTAAAAAAAAATCACCAAAATTATTGTTAATTTTATTTATAAGACCAAGAGTCGTTTTCTCTACTTTAATAATGTTGTTTACGCAAATGAGAAGGAAATATCAGTGAAGAATAGTTTATGAAAAAGGGAGATAAATGGGCTTCAGTACGGTAGTAAACATATAAAATGCAAGTGTAATCAAGAACACTTTGGAATAAGAATGTCTTTTTTAATCCCATATATATGATTTTACAACCTGACCACCTTCAACTGGAAAGCCTCAATTGGTCTCCGATGTGATTGCAATACTATTAAATATCCGCTAGATGTCACAATTTATTCGAACATCTATATTACCAGCATCAAATTCTTCAATCTAAGGCATGTACGTTCCTGTTTTGTTTTCAGTCAAAAACAATAGGTTTTTTTTATTGTAATATTATTTTGCTTAAATTATTGACTAAAATATTTATTTGTGAAAACCGTGAAATGTGTACAGTTAGTGTGTAGAGTCTTTTTTTTTATTATTATTTATCAGATAATTTATAAAGAGCGGGTTTTTAACACAAATTTTAAAGTGATACTGATTGTCCCTGGTGCAATATAATAAATTGTAATGGTTACAGACACACGGACTACTTATTTACTTAATTCCTGGAGCGTGGTGGTTAAGGAAGCGGACTTGGGTCTGTAAGGCATCAGGTTCATCAGGTGCTCTCGGAATGGCACTGTTCCCACACACTGCTCCCCGGGCGCTTAAGCTGCCCCCTGTTCACTTTGGTTATGGATTAAAAGCAGAGGTCACATTTTGTTGTGTGCAGTGGTGTGCTGTGTCACAATGACAAGGGGTTCACTTTCCTTTCCTTTTCTTTCCTTTCGTTTCCTTTCCTTTCCTGTCCTGAACGCATTACTTTACACGTGATGGTCTGTTATCAAACAACACTGTGCGACACGTGAGATGTCTGATCCCTTTGCTGATTGGCTTACAGGATACCAATAGGAAGGTGCTTAGTCAATAGACTTCCGGCATTTTCAGTCGATCTTTGAACAATCGGCCAAACTTCTTTGGTTTAGAAGACATTACTAATTTAAGCAAATGCTCAATTTTCGGTACACAGGGGGTGTGTAACTCTGACATTCTGAAATATTGAATGGGGCTTTGCTTCGACTCACTGCCGTTAATTTTAGCATAAAGCAATAACATTGTTACCGTTATTACAGTAAACACTGAGGTAACTATGCTGCATTTGTTGTAATTGTTTTTATCTCTCCCAGATTCAGTCTAAACTGTTCTTTTTAATAGCAGGCCATACAACTGATTAATAAAATTCGGAATTGATGCTTTTAACAGTAGCAGTTTGTTTTAAACCTACTATTTTAAAGGGTTCATTTGATTTATATTTAATGGTCAATCAGCAAAAATATTACTTTAAAATTAAGAGTGACCATAAATCAAAAACCATATAATTATAACAAAAATTGTAAAATTGTAACAAAAAATACGACTGATATTTCATATTAGTGTAAACATTTGTAGCAGTCTTTTATTGATTATAAACTCCTGTTTTAGAAAGGTTATACAAATGTAAAAAATTGTGCTGTATTATTTGTTTTACATGATTATTTTCCTACTTATCGGTTTTTCAATTTTGCATGCAGGCGGAAGTGATGTAAATTGGGGATACTCTATCCTTCGGGGAAGTATAGCATCTGACCGTATTGAAATTTGTCTGTCAAATCTGCCTCCATCCTTGTATTCTGACGCGCAAATGGCATATCTAACAATGAGAACATGAACGGCACACTGTAATCATCTGGACCATGTTGATATTTTAGTTCGGCGGACTTCGGGAAGATAAAAAAGGAATGGTGAAAGTCGGATTGTTAAAGAAGGACCAGGGAATCTGGAGGGGGAAGGGATCTGTGAATTCAAGAGGGTTGTAAACTGGTGAAAGAAGGCGGAATATTTGTTGTGACAACGCCAAAAAGCCACCGGCGGAACGTCAATTTAAAAGGAAAAACTCGAGTCCTATTTAAAAAAACTTAAGTTACGAGTCGAAACGTAAGGTCATTGTCAAAATGGAGCTTAGAGTTGGGAACAGATACAGACTTGGTAGAAAGATCGGAAGTGGCTCTTTCGGAGACATATACCTAGGTGAGTTGAATTATTCATTTATTGTCTTATGTTAAAGTATTTCAGACATCCGTATAGATAAAGAGGAAAAAATCGCATGACTTTCCATTAATATCAATTTACGTCACGGCTAAGCTAACTGACTTTACCTCTGTTCTGCTAACGGAGATGTCAGTTTAATAAAAAAATAAATAAAGCAGCGTAATTATCAAGGAACGAAACTCCATATGTTTTGTTATAATATAAATACTCGTTAAGTGGTAGGTTCTGATATTTACGTTTAACTTTTGTTTAAGCTTTTAAGTATTCAGTTTTCCCATCGTTCATGGGAAATTAGAGTAAACGCAATATTTCCACTCAATTTGTTGTAGAAATCCTGTACATATGCTAATTTATGTAACTTCCCAGCCTAAAACAGTATTAATATTCACGTGTCTCATTTTAGAGATGAGATTATAACTAATCGCCGTTCATTGTTTTACTTGATCTTCTCATGTTTACAACATAGCAGGCTGCTGACTTCAGCTCTTCGTTGTTGCAGTAGTTGCTATCTCAACCTTAAACACTTAGGTTTCTGTTGTCTTTATTTACACTCCAAACTGACGTGTGCTTCTACAGTGATACTGTGTTTGAGTAAGCTATTGTCTTACAAGCGAGCACTTGAACAGTATGTACTCATCAACGAGCGCTCATGCTTAGGGTGCAAGGAAACAAGTTTGTGATGAGCTTACCGATATTAAGGAGTAATAAAATCATCCAAACTATTAGTTGACACACAGTTGCCAGTTAGGCCTCATCTTTCTGTGGGTCCTTATACAAGAACATTACATTTTTGTTCACAACAGACTTGCTTCTGATTTTTCTTCTTATCCAGGCACAGACATTTCAGTGGGGGAGGAGGTTGCCATCAAACTAGAATGTGTGAAGACCAAGCATCCCCAACTGCATATCGAGAGCAAGATCTACAAGATGATGCAAGGAGGAGGTAAACTATTATTTATGACAATATGTTTCTCAGTTTCCCTGTACACTCTTTTTACCACTTTGTTAGTTACACAAACCTTTAATTGTCTCTTATTATGTCTGCTCTCCAAAAATGCTTCTTTAATAAAATGTGATAAATATTTTAATCAAAGTCCAATTGGCATACATAGTTTTCTTTCAAAATTTGTCTGTGACGGAATGCGTCAAGACGTTTTCACCTGTGAGTTTTACAATCCCACACCCATATGTGTAAATTAATAATAGTCTGTGCTGCCTGAGTAATAAGCAGTAAAAAACATGACATTTCTGTGGATAAAATGGCACAGGTTTTTGTAACAAACATAAATATGTTTTAAAACAATAACGGTTTCACTTTTACGTTTCTACAGTGGGAATTCCAACAATAAAGTGGTGTGGAGCAGAAGGGGACTACAATGTTATGGTTATGGAGTTGTTGGGACCCAGCTTGGAGGATCTTTTTAACTTCTGCTCTCGCAAGTTCAGCCTGAAGACCGTTCTTCTGTTGGCTGATCAGATGGTAAGAAGGCTTATTCATTATATCATTGTCAGTTATCAATTATTCTACACCTGGATGTAGGTGGTAACATATGGATTGGTATAGAAAATTTGTGAAAAGTAAAATTTTTATGGGTGGGATGGTTTTGTCTTTTCCACAGATCAGTCGTATTGAATACATTCACTCCAAGAACTTCATACACAGGGACGTGAAGCCTGATAACTTCTTGATGGGACTTGGCAAAAAGGGCAACCTGGTCTACATTATTGACTTTGGACTAGCAAAGAAGTACCGTGATGCACGTACACATCAGCATATCCCCTATCGAGAAAACAAGAACTTGACTGGCACTGCACGTTATGCCTCAATCAATACACATCTCGGAATTGGTATGACAATCTTTTTAGACTAGGAGGTAACTTCACAAAACTGTGCAGAGGTATATGTATAATAATGTCATCTTTATCTCCATATACAGAACAGTCAAGGCGTGATGACCTGGAGTCCTTGGGCTACGTTCTCATGTACTTTAATCTGGGTTCACTGCCTTGGCAAGGCCTTAAGGCTGCTACCAAGAGACAGAAGTATGAAAGAATTAGTGAGAAGAAAATGTCCACCCCTATTGAGGTTCTCTGCAAGGGATATCCCTGTAAGTGCTTAACTGTCTGGAGCTTTCATAATCCATTGTTTTGGTAAAAAAAAAAGGAAGAACTGTTGATCTTGACAAGTTTGGGGTTTTTTTTGGGTCACAGCTGAGTTTGCAACTTACCTGAATTTTTGCCGATCCCTGCGATTTGACGACAAGCCAGACTATTCGTATCTACGGCAGCTCTTCAGGAACTTGTTTCACAGACAAGGCTTCTCGTATGATTATGTGTTTGACTGGAACATGCTTAAGTTTGTAAGTATAAGTCTAAGTATAAAAAATGTTTATTCATTAGCAATTATAGCTAAATAAATATTTACACTTCACACAGTATTGTAGCTTGTACTAGGGTTTTTTTTTGTTTGTTCATTTTGTTTTTCATTTGCTGTCACAGGGAGCTAACCGCGCAGCAGAGGAAGCAGAAAGAGAACGTAGAGACAGAGAAGACAGGCTGAGGCATGGCAGAAATCCAGGGACCAGAGGAGTACCTGCTGTGTCAGGAAGACCAAGAGCCACTCAAGAAGGAACCCAACCTTCCCCACTCACACCCACATCTCACACAGGTTTGTTGACACTGTCCTTATTTACTGCTTTTCAAACATTATGTGCTCCAATGTACTTTTGTCATATGTTGTCATGTTGTTTCATATTTTCTTCATGTAATTTTGTAATGGTGTTCATGTAAACATGGTCTGTTTGTTTGGGGTTTCAAAGCCAATTTGTTGTAATTTGTTGAACTATTTGGGTTAAACAAATTGGTTAATTGTAACTGCTATGTTTGTTGTGAAGGGTTTTTTGACATTCTCGAAATATTACATTTTCTTTTTAAAAAAATGAAAGTGATATGAGGCACATTGCTTCATATCAATTTTCAAATATATGATGCTAATGTCTTCATTGTTGCTTTCTGATATGCAGCAAACACATCTCCTCGACAAGTGTCTGGTATGGAGCGTGAGCGCAAGGTCAGCATGAGACTGCACCGTGGCGCTCCTGTCAACGTATCATCCTCAGATTTAACAGGACGACAGGACACTTCCCGCATGTCCACCTCACAGGTACAAGACACCTTTTTAGAGGTTTCTTGTCTGTAAATTGAAGATATTTATATATTTTTGGTCTTTTTAATAAAAATTAGGTAAAATTTCATAAAGATTCGAAGGACCCAGTTTTAGTGTGGGAAGAACAACATCCTTTAAAATAGAAATAAACCCAGTAGCTGTGGTAGGAGGGGTGCTAAAGCTCTGGTATGCAGTCATGTAGCTCCAGGTGTTTGCTTGCTGCAACATGTGGGTTCTGACTTGACATATTGGGCCTTCTCTCTCCCTTCCCTAAACCTCAGAATAGCATTCCCTACGAACATCACGCCACCAAGTAGACGCTCGCCATGTCCTTGTGTGACGGCAGCAACACTGGGTGAGTTCTGTCACTGAAGCACCTGGAATGCCTTGTTTTGTTAACCCCAGTTCTCCCCGAGACTGCATCAGAGTTGTATCGTATGTCATGGTGCTACATGTTCAACTTGCAAGCTAGTCGGAACACGGGTTACCCAGCATTTGAAAAAATCAAAAACCAATCGAATTGAGTTTCATCAGAAACCAAGTTGTGACTCGAAATCAGGAAACATTACAGTCGACTTGTCTGTCATCAACAAGGCAGAAACAGAGATTGTGTATTACACAAAGCCATTACAACCATTGGATGGTGTACTACTTGGCCTCACATTTTATAGCTGCTTTTCTCCACAAATTAATTAGATATTGACCACTTTGTGCAGCAGGGCTCAGTACTCTTGAGAACTGGGGGTGGTAAAGCATTGCAGTGCATCAGAGCCTGAGAATGTAGCTTCTGCCCCTTTAATCAGCTTTGTGCCATTCACTTGTTGCTTGCGGTGTTGGTTTGTTGTCACAGGCCACATCCATCAGATGGCAGGCCACAGTGACCACAGAAATGTACCTTTCCTTGCCTATGCTTATCTCAATCATGCTTAATGAACCCAAATGCTCACCCACTGATTCCTGCCTCCCTGTCTGGTCTCAAAACCTACATCATCGCATGATACAACTTCTTTATGGAAAGGGAGCTGTGGAAAACCTCAATTAAGACTTCCATCTCTGGACTGAAGCCAGACATGATCTAAAATCTGGAATCATTTAGATTCAGATAAAAAAAATGGGATGTACAGATCTGTGCATCCCTACTGGTTCTGTATGGTCTGGTTCTTACTGTTAACAACCTGATTGGAGGGTGTAACAAATTTTAGGTTGGGCCATCACTTGCATTGTTGTTGACAGGTTAGTATGTTTTATTTTTTGTAATTAAAGATTTGTTGTGCTTAACACTTTAGAATGGTACTGTTGTATTTTTACTTTACATTGTTTAGTGAAGTGTTTTTTGTGTATTAAAATTAAGAACAATCTTGAGGGTTTAACTATTTCTGATAATAAAGATAACTGTGTGTAGATTTGACAAATGCATTGAGTAGTGATTATCTGTTGTTCATGCAGTTCAACAGTAATCCTGTTTGTGTCTTTAACACTTCTGCTCTTGTCTTGTCCCATCTTTCCCTCAGATGGCATCTGTTGCAATGCCTGCTGGTCTCCATCTTTTAGCTCCAAGATGAGCACGTGCCCCCGACCCTAACCTGGCGGACCAACATCTGGGTCATTGGAAGAAGTTCACAAATGCTAGTGCCAGAAAGGTTTCTACTCCTAAAGCAACCATTGAAAATCAGTTTCTGTTTGGTCACAAACAACCTGCGTCAGAACCTACAACAGTTCTCTACACTTAGACACAACAGTTTTGCACAGCCTTCCACACTAGCCCCAGGTACTATGACCAAACTCCTAAGGGGCTTTGGGTTGTCCAGAAAACCACAGTAATTCAGCCATGTTTTCTTATACACTGACTGATCACATATAATGGAAAAAACTCTTGATTTTTTTTTTCTACTTTACACAGATTCCACAGCCAGTTATTGCGAGTTCATACCAGATAATCAACTTTTTCCATGGCAGTAAGGTTTAATAAACCTGATGCTAAATCGTCATTTTTCTGTATATTTCTGGGTATTTTGTGATCCGTGATGCTTTTCATCTGTGTCCATGTTCTGTATGTTCTTCGATGAACGGTCTTCTTTGATTAACTTTCACTTTGGACTGATTTCAGCAACTAAGAAGCTACTTCTTTGCATGTTAAAGAGGTAGGCCATCAGTCTCAGGTGAGAAGGCTCGAGTATTAGCTGAACCTGTAAATATACCAAAATATGCTTTGGTATTTGGGATGCAGGGAGCCGTGTCTTCATTGAGTAAAAGAGGTTTTGTCTTTTAAGACCCTGTTCAGACCCTGACTTTGTTTTTCCAAGCTCTGGTCAATAGGGTAGTTTACATACTATGTTTGGGGTATCAAAAGAATTTTGTCCATTCACTGTATACCCAAACAATTTCAGTTCATTCTAGTTGGTGTTAACTTGAAAGCTGTGAAGTACGTACTTAGTTATATTGATGTAAATGATTTGTCATGTTTTCAGTGAGGATGGAAAGGAACTCAGCGACTGCTCTCAGACTTAAATGTTCACACATTCTACAACCAGCAATGTTGCTGCAACATTTCCAATGGCAATAGACAAATATTTCATGTAAGTTCAATTTATGTTATGCGTAAATCACTTAATCATGAAAAGTTACTAAAATTTGCAGAGCACAGCTTGTCTTAATTTTGCACGCTTCAGAAGTAGTGTTTTTCCTGGGACTGTTTATATGTACCTGAACGTACGTACACTGGCCATGACTAACAATAATGCCATGTCTGTCAGATCATACTGGCCAGTTATAATTCCTTCTTGCTGCTGCAAATTCTGCTGATAGTGATTTGGAATCGGCCTCCATTCTCACCATTCACACTGCAATACAGTACATAAGAAACCAAATCAGCTGGAATGAAATACCCATTTATATTTGTGTACTTTCCTTGTAAATAAAATAATAACTTGTACCTTGAAATGTCATGACTTTTAATGACATTAGTCAATTATGAAAACCAGTGTGATGTGTTAAATGTGTTCAAATTGCAAGTTAGGATAAAGGCTGCCTGGACCAGGAGGGGACGCCTGGTGACGGCAGGGCGTGGACTGGGCCCATTTACATGAACAAGGGTGATCTGCAGACCTTCAGTAACTAAGTTGATCAGTCACAGGAATGACAGATCAGTCAGAGTGGAGCAAGTCGTGCTGTCAGAATGTTGGATGGGTTCAGGAGAAGGATTGTGTCGCACCTGGGTTCACCTGGATTGAAACCAAAGAAAGTGTGTTATGTTCCTGCCTATTTTCATTCCAGCTCTTCAGAGCACTCCTCCTGTCCTTATAATTTCCTGTACTTCCCTTCACCTTTTACAATTGTCTCTGGTGGTGTGCTCTCATCCTACTTCCCTAACGCCTGGTCTCCTTTCAAAGGTTCCTTTTTGTAGCTTGATTGTTAACCCTTCGTCTTGAATGACACTTTGGATGAAATGATCTGCAAAAATGTATAAATGCATTAATCTTATGTGTAACAAGCCCAGCAGTAAGAGTGGATTATACGTTAAACTCGATTCCCGATGTATCGTTTGGAGAGAGTCTATGCTAAGATTTTTCTTAACGGTGACTGGAATGATGTAGTGTGGAGATGATTTTAGACATGCTCGAGGTAAAGCTGCCACCAGGAAATGACTCCAGGGTGGGGACACGGGTATTTGAAGTAAGATGTTAAATAGTTCTTGCTGAAGCAAATGAGGCAAGAGACTGGTTGAGGTCAGAGATGGTCAGCTGTGGTTCTGAAAGGAGGGAGACTGAAACAAAGTAAATCTGAACTTTGAACTATTTCATTTATATAAGTACAATTTTTTAAAATATCATTGAATTTCTCCAATGAAAATAGTGTATATATTTGTAGGTACAGTCAGCCTCATACATGTGACACCATTCCCCCAAAAAAAATTCTTGTGCAGCAGGTTGTGTCTTCACCAAACCAGAGCAATGGAACCTTCAGACACAGAAAAGACATAGACACAGTACACGTCACAGCATCTAGTTTCACATGGACCAACGATGCATCATGACACAGCAGTTACCATTAACAGTAAAGCTTACCTTCACAGAGCAGTAGAAACAATTAACAACTCTGAACACGTGCGGACACCTGACATTTGTCAGTGGATGGCTAGATGGAAGCTGTCTTGTGGTACACTAGTCACAGAACAAAGCGTAAGTAAGTAAGGTACTGACTTATTCAGCTTGGATAAAACAGGGTGAAATGCAAATGTTATAAATTCGGGTGTTAATTGACATTAATCAGCCTGCATTGAGAACACAACTCTCATAAGCACCTTGTAACTTCTTCAGTCAGGTTATGACGTGTGTAATGACGGTCTTAAATGATGTGTTAAGAAAAGGTTCATATTTATAAGGGATACTTGATTTCCGTAATGAAATGTGACTTCATTGTTCAGTGGGGATGGACTGGAGCATTTAGAATGTCCTCTGAAAATTAATTTTTACAAGGCTTGGACTGATCCTTGAGTAAAGGTAAAATCTGTCTGTTAGACAAGTTTGAAACCGTTGTTGTTGCATAATAAAGGCTCTGTACTGGATCAGGGCTGAATTTTAGACTTATGATTGGTGGAACTATGTTGTATTGGAAGTGAGCACAATTTTAAAAAGAAAAAAACAAGGGGACTATTATTGTATATATTTTGTTTCTATGTACAATGATTTGATTTGATGACGGTTGACTGATATGGTTTTCCATGCTGCACAAAAGGCAGCTTGACCAAAAAAGAATGACCAAAGGTGGATTTGGTCAATGCCTTTTAAAGCGTTTACCCTGATGAAGCAAATCCAGGCTGAGAAAGCTTGTGTAAGTTTTAATCCTCCTCTGTGGCAAATTTTAAACCCAGTGGGTCAGCTTTTATTGCCTGGTTGATCTAAAGACTACACCTTTTTAAACCTTTACTGGTTGTTGGTGTAGAAAACACACTACAATAAACGTCTTTGAAGCTTACCCTCAGGTTAGCACTACTTTACTACTAGGCCTCTGCAGAGCCTGGTTCTGGCAGTTGATGACGATCAATAAGTGGGAAAGATTAGTAATGTAAGAGGTGCAATTGTTACTATTACAAGTCAGCTTCTAATTACAGTGATCTAAATGAAAGAAATGTGTGTTTAGGCTACTGCATGATAAATGAGACTCAACTCCATCAGCAGATTCACTGTAAGGAACCGGACTTTCTGTTTGTGCGCTCCTGGGGGTACAGATGTCTTTCAAGTCTTTAGCAGTTCTTATTATTTATAATGACGTCTCAGTGTTGGGCACTGTGCCATCCTCTCCCATCTCCTTTACCACCGCCACCTCCTCCCCTACTTTTCCATTACCTCCCTCCTTTATCTCCTCTTCCCTGTCTGTCTCGGGCTCCACTGCACGTTTCAGCTCCTGCGTCTCTGCAGCCATCACGGCCATCTCCGCCTTAGACTCCAGGTTTTCCGATTTCTTGCTGATACACAGGAAGTTACCAATGGCCAAAACGAAGGCAGACAACACGACCTCGCAGCCAGCTAACAGGAAAATGTACATGTAGTTGTGTGTGGCATCCAAAAGGCGACCTGGTGGAGAGATAATTATCAGTCAGACTTGTTGGAAAGCATTAAGTGGACTTTATGCCAAGGTGACATATTTCAGGCATCCCTCAGGGAGGGTTGGAATCAGTCGGCTACGGAAAAGTAATGATGACTGGTTTGAAATGTTAATTATGGCATTGTCTTCTGCTATCTGTTGTGACATATCAGAAGTCTCACCAAGCCCATTTGCTCTGCTTCTTCATTCTTACTCATCATGACAAATGGTGATTGGTTGTTGTGCGTCATGTTTTGGCATGATGTCCTGACTCTGTGATTGTGTAATTGAATACTGGGATCACTTCACAAATACAGTAGAGCACCTTCACTTCACAGTCAAAGCATGAAGAAAACGACTGGAGGTGCATTTGTCAAATGGATTGCGAGGCACAGTAGACTGATCAATATTGTTAGGGACATCACAGAGACTCTCAGAGCTCATTAAACTTGACACGTTCTACATTCCACTGTCACAGTGACACAGTAATATGACCTAAAACTACCAACTCGTCATTGTTGACATGTTTCCTTATTATTAATGCCAACATTTGGGTTGGTTACAAATAAGAACAGCTGTGGAACGCATACACTCTAATCCTGATTGCGATTAATCCTGATTAATCAGATTCATATTTGAATCGTTTTATAGTGCAAAAATCCTGTCAGTTTTTGGTGTGAATCACAGTCACAATTTACACTTTATAACATCGGCCCCTGTATAAAAGGTTTGTGAACAACTTTTTTTGATTCACTTTCTTTTTCGTCTCAGGAAAGGAGGTCTCAGATTGGATCTAGTTTGCTGGGTCACATTATTCCATGTTGGACTAATTGTGTCAGCTTGTTGAGAATCCATTAAACATAGAGTTTGGATTTATGGCAGAATGACTGCTGGCTGACCATTCAAATTCTGTGTTTGAAAGCGTGCCCTCAAATCCTCACCTTTGGACCCTAAACACCCATTCATTGCACCTAAGTTAGTTCAATGCATCATTCCTCTGATGCTGTCTAAAACACTGTATGTCCAAAAGCTATTGTGAGGGTCAGCCTTGTGTGTGACAGATGTCAAAGGTCACATTGATTAGTCTCACGCCTCTAACCTGCTCCAGGAGGTCCCAGTAGCACAGCAATAGCTTCCATCAGCAGCACCAAGCCAATGGCACTGGAGAACTTCTCTGTCCCAACAATGGCCATGAGGACCTCGAACTGGAGCGCTCCCACCATGCCGTACGACATTCCAAAGAATATACAGAAGATCACCAGACCTGTGTAGTCAACCGCCTGCAAAGGGATGAACAAGATTGATGAATATTACGCAATCAGAGAAGGATGGAGCAGCGATCGTACACAAACTCCAGACAACATGGTTGACGTTGACATTTGTGGACTTAGCGGGACTGTCTCAGTCAGTCACCTTGACAAGCTCAGGAAAATCTGGAATATTAATGCAAAGGAAATGTTTCTTTTGTATACCAACATGAGGCTCTCAGTGAATATGTAGCTTGTGGATCCTGGCATTTTGTAGATTGTGAGCTGGGATACATATAATCTATGGCTCATTTGAAATTTGACAACATGGCTATTAAAAAGTTCTTAATATGTCTGAAAGAACTTTTAAAGGCTTTGACAAATCTATACATATATTCAGTATTCTTCTCATGTTACCTGTGAGCCTATTAGGTCGGTGATTCCATTGAAGAGCATAGAAAAGGCGAAGAGGTAGATACTTCGAGGTCGTACCCACTTTAGTCCTGCGACCATTCCTGCGATGGGACGAGCAAACATGTCCACGAACCCCAGTATGGTGAGCAACAGCGCCGACTGTGTGGCCTCATAGTGGAGGTTTTTAGCATAACTGACCACAAACACAGGAGGCACAAACAAGCCCAGTACCATAACAGAGGCTGCCAGGGTATAGATGACAAAACCCCTGTCCTTGAAGACACTGAAGTCCAACAGTTTCTTAGGCAGGGGCTTCTTCTCTGCCGCTGCAGCCTCCTCCTCAGCCTGTTCAAGTTTCTTAGGTGGCACCAGGGGCCTCATGAGTGCACCACAGGCACAGCAATTAAGTAGTATTCCCCCCAGTATGAGGAAGCCCCCCCTCCAGCCATAATGAAACTGGAGGACCTGTCCCAGTGGGGAGAGACAGCACAGCGCCACAGGGCTGCCTGCGGCTGCCAAGCCATTGGCTAGAGGTCGTCTCTCACTAAAGTATCGATTCAGCATTATGAGAGACGGCTGAAAGTTCAAAGCCAGACCCAGACCTGAAGACGGAGACAATGACAAAGAGAGACGGTGACTCAGCAAATGACTGAGATATAGTCTGCTTTTCTCGTGAGTGCAAGTATGGTATACTGGAACCTGTTATAACTCCAGTGCAGAAGTAAATGTGAATGATGCTGGTGGCAAATGAGGCAAGAATCATTCCCAGTGAGGCAAACAGCCCGCCGAGCATCATCACCGGTCGGCAGCCGAACCTGTTCACCATCACACTGCACAGTGGACCTGAAGGGACACAATCCAGTCATTAGCGACTCTTTACGTCTGCAGTTATTAGCCAATAGATCTGAACAGCATCTTTACCTGTGCCATACAGCATGGCTAGTAGTATTGACGAGATCCACGCAGTGTCACTGTAGCCGACATCAAACTCTCTGATCAGCTCTTTGAAGAAAACACTGACTGCTTTGGGAAAGGCATAGGAGAAGCCAGTGATAACGAAACATCCAAACAGAACTGCCCAACCCCAGCCTCCGTCTGGAGCCTTTACCCCGCTGGGCCCGTCATCCAGGGCTACTCCTCCCATGATGCTATCAGGATGTAACGTTGAAGTCAGGAGCTACAGAACCTGCAGTGAAAACAATGTTTAATTATGTTTATTCAAAATCAAAAAAGTGGTCAAGAAATACCAAATTGTCAGAAAAAACTTAAATAACAATTGCCACAAAAAGGCAAATGACTTCAAATGACTTGTGATTTGTGAATTGTTAAAACTTATATGTGAATTGTTAAAACATCAAATAGAAAAATAAAACACTTGTTCAATTTACTATCAAAACCAAAAGATTTCTCGAAGTAGAGTTTAAATATTAGATAATAACTCAGCACCATGGCTACAATTTTATCAACAGTTTTTTTTTTAAAATCTAAGCAAATATGTTGCTAAACCTTTGCTACAAAATATAGGGACATTTCTTTTTTAGATGTCATGACGACAGCTAGGAATAAACTAAGGGTGTGTGTTGATAGGGTAGCACATATTTATTTTGTCATATTTGGCTACAAGGCCAGACCGTGTAGATGTCGGAGCTTTTGTTTTAATCTAATTAAAGGCTGTGAGGAACACAGTGTGTGTGGCGCTGCAACGACCATGGAGTGTCTGCCAGTGAGGGGCATAGATATGAGAACACTGTGTTCACATGATGATTTACTCCTGCCCACTCCTTTCTATAACATGAGACATCATTTTGTGTGATTTAAGAAATGTTTACTTGTTTAGGCTAACTGTTAGCATTTATGTTGTTTTATTTGGGATATTTTGCTATGTTTATGATAATATTGAGCGATTAATGCAGTTTTTAAGAATTATTTTGACTTAAAACTAGACTCATAACTAAGGTTGAGGTGATCTTTTAGCTAATTGTTAGTTTGTTTTAACAGATTTTAGTCTCTTGGCTATATTGTTTCGAATCTTATGGTTATTTTGATCCCTACTTTCTGTTATATTTTCCTAATGTAATGCTGTTTCTGCTTCATTCTCTGAACATAATTAAGGTTCATTCTGGTCTTTCTCCTAATGCCATTTTCCTAGCATTTTTAGGCTTAATATATTGTATCAAAACTATTTTATTTTCAGTGGAAATTTAATTATGTTTTTCTTTATGTCCGGCTAAAATGTCCAGTTGTAAAATGTCCAGTTGTAATGTAATGGTTGTTACATGAACTGACCAACATGAACTACTTGAAAAGACTGTTGTGCTATCTAGCAGCCTATCACATCTTATTGTGTAGTTCATCAAGATTGACGAGGAGCTAACTCCCATTTCTGGCGTCAGGGCCGTTTGGTGATCATGACAGACTGTACCAGGGGCTAATGTCAAGGCATGTGACTTTATGAGGCCCCAGTGACATTGCTCTTTCTTACATGCAAGCTTTATTTACAGTGGGCAGTCGTTCACCTGCACACGTCCTCCACCCCTTAATTTCAACCTGTTCTCCAGATGCCAACAAGTTTCCCATTCTTTCTCAGTCACCCGATTCTATTCTGTCCTTGATTTTCCCACTCACCCACACCTGTCACTTCACAGTGTGACCCATGCAACATTCTGCAATGGGCCCTTGTTACCAGCCACTCTGAAATAAAACTCTGTATACACACACACTCACTCACACACGTCTCTCCTTTCTGTTATGCCGATGAAAGGCAGTTGGAACTCGGCCATCATTGTGTTGTTTTAAGAGGCTGTAATCCTTTCAGGAACAGCTTGTAGGATCCACAAAACTATTTCATAAAATGCTGTTTATTCAGCATATTATAAGGCTTAGTGATACTGTATCTACCATGAAGTATTTCTCACTACCGCTCTATTTAATTCATTAAAAATGAATTGACTTTGTTGTTATTCATATAACACATTTTTAGGCTAGTTCTGGGCTATCATTGTCCTGAACTTTTGGCTATTTTTTCTTTTGCAGTAAATTTCTGACGTACCTAGCAAAGTATTTGTAGCTAATGATAGCATATTTTTTTATCTAAATTTCAGTCAACTAGATTTAATCTGTATTCCCTAAACATGTATGGATTGTTGTTATTTTTATTGAAAATTACTTAATGTTTTACTTTTTTTGTTTTAAATTAGACTTAAAAAAGGGGGACTTAAAGATTTAATAGGAGAAATTTTAGGGATTTTTCAAGGGCATCACACACTGGAATGTCCTTAATGTGGTCTTATTACTTTGATGACTGAATGTAAATTATTAACTTTTATGAAATGTATGTGTCAGGGTTGGGGTTAAGAATGGCCATAACATGCTGTGTGGAGCTCATCCACTAATCTACATAAAACCCTGCTATTGATCTTTGGTAAAAAAAAATAAAAAAAAAAAAAAAACAAAGCCCAAGTTGCCTGAGGGCCATGTCATCAGTGGGCGATTGCAACCTGCCATTGGTGGACAAAGGTCTAATTATAGAAGCATTGTGTGAATGTGACTGTGAGGTTGAAGTGATATGTGTTTTATATTTACCCAGCAGGGCTGCAATGTAAAAATCAGATAGATTCTTACATAGAGATGTTCCATACAGTTCTATTTTTATGTAAATAATATAGATTTTAACACACTTTACATACACAAATGTATATCAGTCTCCTAATTCAGGTGTGTCCACAATTCATTTTTCAAGTTGAATCTCCTTACCTTATTCTTTAAATATAAGCACATCGTTAGATGGCACTACATACATATATAAAGGTTTGGGGGGGGTGGGGGGGATTCTGCTACCGACACTGAACTTAGTTTGTGGCAGTATTCTGAAGGTAATCTTTTTGACCTTGCCCTTTTTTGCGTGTGTGTGGTTTTATTGGGAAACAGGAAGTAACTCAGCAGCACGTGGTTTTCAGAGGAAAATAAGTTAGTTAGTCTTCAGTTCTGGTGATTTGGCCACAGTAGCACTACTATTCAACATGTAAAAACATGAATTGACCTGTTAGACTTTTACGTATCCTAGGAGACGGGGATGTGGCCGCGGTGGATGAAGAGAGCGCACGTTCACCAGCACGTACACACAGAGTGGACCAGATCTGCGTCACATCCTTTACACCACGCACAGCCTCCTAACTTTCACAGCATCACATAAAGCCTCTTGTTATCTGATACTGTGAATAAGTACACAGAAGATTTAATTATATTATATAAATAGTTGCGTTGTTACGACTGAGTATTTTAACGGAGGACAGTAACGCGCCTGTTCCCCATGCAATAATTACTCCACTCTGTAAAATAAACATTCCGTACCGCAGGTACCAAAGAGAACTGACATCTGCTTGTTTGTCCACTGTCATGTCTTCACTAGGTAAAAATAGCCTGTTCCTGCAGGCGTTGTGGTACTGATAACGATGTACATCCGAGGGACAGATGTGGATCCCGGTGCCTGCGTGCAGACAGACGCCGGTGTCGACGTGACGATCGAGATGTAATTCCACTGCATTCACTTTCACCAACACAGCGATAATAGCGATAAAAACCAATCTATATATAAAAAAAGGCTATAAATAATCATTATAATAATATCATTATAGAGCAGTGGAGACTGAGCATCACTAACACTACTACTGACGCGACGTTTGTCACCTGTTACTCTGGTTCACCAGACCACGAAGATCAGACAGGAATTATAAATGATCGGGGTTAATTAACCATACTGACAATTGAAAGGAAAAAAAAGAGACTGTACCTGTTGCGCTGCTCTCGTCCACTCTGAGGGGCGCTTTTTGCGTGTGCGCGCTTCCCACAGCGCCTTATAATGCTGTGGAGGGGGGCGGGGGGAGGCAGCATAAAAACTGTAGTAGAGCATATAGTATTTCTTCACCTGAATCTAAAGTCCACATTCAACTGAATAACAATTAATCGACTATGACTGTACTACACGGTACTATTCTAACCTTGTGCTTACAGTATCTATTCGATGCCTGTGTTCTGCCCAGTGCTGCATGTTGTTATACTATACTATGTTATTATTATTGTTATAGCTTGTTACACTACACTGTACTATTTGTGCCATACTTTATTAACCTGTATCATACCAAACGCTGCAGCAGTATGCAAAACAAAACTATGCTAAACCATGCTAAACTGTACTAGGCTATGACGTACTTTAGAGCAGATATGCAATAACTATATAATATATTATGGGATGTATGTTGTATAGTAGTGAAAGATGATGACTATATCATACTACACTACATTTAGTAAACTTATAAAAATAAAATACGTAAAAAATACTACTACTACTTCAATAATAAAAACAACAACAACAACAATAATCGATTTTTATCATTTGCAGTGCCTGGTCTGCGCTCTTCGTGGGTTGATGTTGTGCTGCTTGTTGCTGCCGTTAGAGGGCGTTTGTGGCGTCTCAAAAAGAAAGAAAGAACCAATAAGTAAAGAAGAAAATGTTACGTTTGTTGCAGGTGAGCTAACCTGTCATGGGGCAGTGTCTTCTATTAATCCACCTGGCCCTGTAACACTGCACGGCACCACACTGTATTTGCAAACCTTTTGAAAGGTAGGGAATGTGTTTTCCTTTCATACCCTGCTTCATTTATTAAGTAGCTTCACAAAGCGCACGCACTTCCAGGTCTCATTAGAAAAGTGTCACGTCCACTAAAAGCCACTCTTCTTATCCATGGTAGGCGTATTGTCAGCGGGCTCTCTGAAGTCACTGATGCTTGGACCTGAACAAACATCCTTTTCATGGTGCATTCACCAAGTCACCGATCTTTATCAGTGATGATTATGTGACTCTTCCCGTGTACCCGACATCTGTGTGCTGACTGCTGTCGAATCAGTCGCCACAAAAAGGTTCTCGGTGTGCATCATGAAAGAAGAAATTTCAATGGAGTCCTCCCTCAGTTATCAAAGAGTAGGGAATGACTCTGACCCAGCTGCGGCCGATTCACTGTTGGCAGGATATGGAACCATTGTTTGTTTTTTTTTAGATCACAGAATTCGGGGAACGGTTTGTCCGACGTACCGGCTACTATAGCAGCGGGACGCTAAAGGAAGCAACAGTATGTTTAAAACTTCAACTTCAGCTCGTAAAATGATGTCAATATAAACTATCTATTATTTTCGACATGTTTTATACTTAATTTAAGTAGATATTTGCTACAATCCATTGCTCGATATCGAGCTTCGTTAGTAAAGATTAATTCGCCCGCAAGAACATTCCAGAAGAAAAACTGATTCCTGGCTGCATTAACGGATGATTTCCGCCTAAATATGAGATGCACCAGAAAATATTTGTGATGTGCTCAAAACGTAGGCAATTTTAAAATATTTTTTTAATCTGAAACTGGTGTGTTCAAAGTATAGCCCGGTATCCAAAACACATTTTCGGATCCCTAATTTAATGTCTATAATCTATGATCATTATGTAAAACCAATTGGCCAGCAACATTTTATTTCCCATCTTGAGGTATTCAGCTGTGATCGCAATGCTGTCTGTTTTTACATTAATAGTTTTATTAGGAGTTATATTGTAATTGTATTTAATATTTCGGTAATTCTCTCATAATCAAAAACAAATACATTTCTATGGACACTATGGAAATGTCAGAGTATTTCTATGACACATGAATGGATGTGCTCTCCAAATACTGTTATGTTTAATGTTTAATTTAGAAAATAAATAAGTGTAATCTTTCAGGAAAAACACTATCCAGTGTAAACTAACTTGTTCCTCAGCTTGTGGGGTTTAAGCCCTTAAATCAGAGGAAACTGTGCAAAAACAAATGTTTATCAAACCCTGATGTGTGTTTTCCTTGGATCTCACCAAGAAAGACTTCAAAAGTCTTCCATCTTTCCCACATGGGGCTCATCTATTAACTCCCTACGTCTTGTGCGAATGTTGTGATAAAGAAGCCAATGTTCACTGGCCAGACTGGTTCTTTTCAGCCTTGTTCTGCTGCAGAACAAGAGTCATTCCGTCTCTGCTCACCACAGCTCTTTTCTTTTGAAATAATCAGCCTGTACAGTATTGGACCAGGACCAGTTTTGGTTTTAAAGTGATAGTGCCAGTAATACTGAAACAGACACTCATTTTAAAGTAATAGGACTTATATAAACACAAAGAAATGCATAGTAATTATTATTTATTTTGTATTTAATTTTCACTTGACTGTGTGTAAATCTCTCAAATATAAGTGCACATTTACAGTGAAATACAGCACAGTGTGTAGTAGTGTGTGATAATGATGATTGTGGCTGATATGCAAATCCCAGGACCAGAATGCACTCAGACAGGAACAATGGACTGGAACTGGAAGCCCAGCTTGCAGATAAAGAGAGAGAGTGGAAGGAGCTCCAGGCTGCAAGGCTTCATCAGTTGGAGAGTTCCCTCAAACAAGCCCAGGAGGAGTGTTCCTCACTCAGGTATACATCAGAGAACTAGTGGATGTGGAGTTCCAGCTAGAAAGTGTAATATTATACATTCTAGCAGGCAGTCGTTTCCATCTGGTCCCTATGTAGGAAGTAAATACAGTGAAACTGAAATCTTTGGCAAAGATGTTATTTAAATAAACCCACAAAGTAGATGAAAGATGCCTTCCAGAAGCACAAACTTTTTCTATTTAGATGAATATTTTTTGTAATATTTTTTCCTTGTTTAAAAATTACCATTCTAATGAAGCTGCTTTGAACTGGGGGAATAAAGGAATTTCTAGAAACTTCCATCTGGTTTAATTGGCTTTCGAAGATTTAATTTCTTTAAAGTCATGCACAAAGTGTTTGGGGAGGAAGGTCATCTCTAGAGAGTGAGTACAGAGCTATTGCAAGGAGTAGGGAGCTTGTGAAAGAATATAAATTTCAGTTTACTTTTGTTTTTTGTCACTGTGTAATGTTAATGCAATTTAATTGAGATTCGAACCAAATTGGTCGATATGGTTGGGACAGGGTCTGGGGCACTATGCACCAACATAAAACTGAAATGTTTTTGTCTGTTTGAAGTCCGTTTGTGTGTTTGTAGCATGTAAGGGGCTGATCATGTTTGGTTTTTTAATTAATTCTAACAATAAGTACATGTAGTCTTCCGTTCCTCTGTAAAATGGTTGGGTTTAACTTCAAGGCCACTGACATTTTTATAAGAGAAGCCTTTAAGTGCATTGAGTTACCACAAAGTGCAAAGATTCCGAGATTTAAGAGTCAGCAGCTGACATTTCTTGACCTCGATTAAAGTCCTAATGGTTCTGGCACTGTAAATCCATGGGCCTAACACCTGAACTCCGCAGTGATTCTGGTATTACAGTTCATTACTCTAGGCTTTAGGTTCGAGTCCACTAGCTGCCAAGTTACCACTGAGGTGCTCTGAGCATGGCACCGTCCCCACACACTGAGCTGCCCACTGTTGACTTTGGTGATGGGTTAAAAGCAGAGGTCACATTTGGTTGTGTGCAGTGTCACAATGACAGGTAGTCCACTTTCCTCCCTTTCCTTATTCCCTTTCCCAAAAACTGCAAGTATGACATGAAACTAACTTGAACATTTGAACTCTCTTTTCACTCTGTGTTGGGCAATGTTACAACAGTCACCTACCTGTTATGGTATCTATCAGCTGTAGATAGCTTTTGGTTGTGTTTGAACAGGTTTTGAAATGTGTTTCCAAACCAACACACTATGGCTCAAGAGCAAGGTTTTCAAAAGAAGCAAGAAAGTAATTTCCTAACAGACATGCTGCTGTTGAAATATTTAAAGGGTGGTTTTCAATAACTTTGAGAAGCACAAACTGAACTCTCTTAGCTTCTATTGTATTGTGAAATAAAACTATCTGCTTTAAAAGATACATCATTTGTCAGGGGCAGAGAGTTGGGCAGGGTGTGTGAAATTCTCAGACAATATCCTTGACATTTGAAGAGTGGTTTATATTTGTCTTCTTTGGGCCTAGATTGTAATTGTTCTTACTTTTCTCGTTTGTCAGAGAGCAGAACCAGCTACTGGAGAAAAGGTTCCAGTTAAATCTGACAGTTCTGGACAATCAAGGCAAAGAGTTGGAAAAATATGATGTCATGACGGCAAAGGCTCTGGCATCGGAGCAGAAAAGGTCAAATGTTTTGTGGTTTCAGATGATGTTTCTGGTGCACACATCAGTCAGACCATGTGGAACATAAATGAACTAAACCAAATATAAAAAGTGGTGCATGTCATTGTACTGCACATCAGATGACAAATTCACAAGAAACTACCTTCATCTGGATTGTACAACTGCACATTAAAACACTTCTGCCTTTATCAAAGTGAGGCTGAAATGACAGAATATGTTAATATAAGTCAAGGATGGTAAGTAACAATTTTGTCATGTTGACTAGTAGTGTTCACATTATTTTTGACAGTTTATAATACTGTATTCCTCTGATTAATGTAACCATAGGAACAGATTCAATTCCACAGGGCAGTGACCTTTTCAATCAGTCAACACTGAAATATTGCTGCCATTTACAGGCAAGAGGAGTTAAACCAGCTCCATGCGCACATCGTCAGGCTGGAGGAGCAGAGAGACAGGGAGGCCAGGGAGAGGAGGAAGGAGCAGAGTGAAAGTCTGAATGCTGCCACTCAACACAGACTGCAGATGGACAGACTAAAGCGGTGAGCTGAGTGAGAGAAAGTGACAGACTTTAGTAATTATTGTTTGGGTCAGATTAGAATAAGAACAGGGATTATAGGTATGTATAAGTTTGTAAATGTTAAGAGTTGGGGGGCCAAGGGAATGCTTTATGATGGAGTTAACTGCTCTTGAAACAGCATCCAATGTGTATCTGTGTGTGTGTTTGCTGGTCTGTGCGGTTATGTGTGCGAATGGCAGCTTTGCAGATGATGAACTTCAACAGCGTACAGCAGACTTTGAGAGAATAATATCGGAATTGCAGCGTAAAATACAAGAACTAGAGGGAGAGATGATCTCACAGCGACAGGTGGGGATCCAACAACACACACAGGCGCCCATGTCACACAAACATATTGATGAATGATGTCTGACACACAGGAGATTACGGCAACGTACGATCGAGAGCTCAGGCAGCGAGAGCATGAGTTCAACCTGAAGTCGGACGAGATGTGTGCCGTAGTGCTGTCTCACAATCTCAAGGTGAGGTGAAGGTGAAGGTGGGGCACTTTGACTTTCTGATGTGTCATAGTCATCGTCTGGTCTCCTGTGTAGGTAAATCTTCTGTGCAGCGAGACCGAAGCCCACCGCCAGGCTCAGATGAAGGCTGCAGAAGCTCTCAAAGCATCCGAGGAGTTCAGTGAACGTCTGAAAACCAGGCTGCAGCAAAAGGACCAGGAGATTGAGAACATCACTGCTGTCAAGGACCAAAGGTCAGCACCAGACTGGACTACACTGGAACATGTTGTCTGGGAGTAGGTGTAGTCACTAACTAAAAGCTTTTCTGTCCTAGGATAAAAGAGCTGAAGGAGGAGGTGGAACAGATGGAGACTAAAGTGAAGGAGACAAATGAGGAAAACACAAATAAGTGAGTCATGATAACAGGAAGTCCTCAGATGGTCATACAAATCTACTCACTGTGCAAATTGTCAGACTGTTGTGATTTTTTTTTTCTGTCAAGATATGAGAGTTTAATCCAGACTCTGAAGGAGTGTGATGCACGACTGGAAACTCAGTGTCAGACTCACTCAAAGCAGCTGCAGAAGAATGAGAAACGCATCAGTAAACTACAGGGGAGAATAAAGGTCACGGCTGCACAGCTGCACTCCATTCAGACAGAGCAGCAAGGGGCGCTGCAGCAGAAAGAGAAGACGATAAAGAAGTGAGAAGAAGAGTGGTTAAAAAAAATGACAAGCCAAACATGTTCATTATAACTTCATTACTTAAAACTGTTGTTTAACTGTTTTCCTCTGTGTGTTGAAAAGGCTGTGCAATGAGATAGAAACAATCCGCACAGGCTGGGACGAGTGTGTGAGAAATGCCTCCTGTCAGATGGTTGCCAAGGATAGTGAGATGATCACCCTGCAGGACAGAGAATCCAAAGCGAGGGTTGATTTGGAGAGGAGCAGGGAAGAGGTCGAGAGGTCAGGAGAAAAATAATCAAACCTCATGCACTTACTGTAAACCCTTATTTATTAAGCAAAAAAATGGGGCTGTAATTTGACATATCTGGTCATCGTACTTTAAGACAGTGGTTCTTAATTATTTTCTGTCATGCCCCTGCTTGGGGACTGAAATGTTTTCACCACCCCATCCCCCACCCACACCCCCGCACATTGAAATACTATTGAAAACCTGATAACATGTATATTTTTATCTGTGCAAACCACTGTATGACTTGCTGCCATCTAGTGACTGGAGGCTTGTTATCATTCAATCATTACAGCAGTGGTACATTTACAGTAAGTCCAGGGTGCCATATTGCATTGGAAGCCCCTCAGTACAAGAAGTACTGCTTTGAGACTTAAAAAAAATGTTTTTCCCTTTTTCCAAGGTACAAGCAGCAGCTGTGTGAAGGTTTACAGAGAGAAAAGGCATTGGAGCAGAAAAGAGTCCAGGTGGAACTGGAGTGGCAGAGACAGTGTGAAGATGTGAAGGCTAAAATCTACCTAGACAATGAGAAGCTAATACAGGAGTTGACACAGGCCAGAGATCAGGTGGGGTTCTAACACTCTATATGATTCATTAATTAATTAGAATATAAATGTGACAATTTTATGAATCGAGATTATACTTTCACACGAGTAATTGTTTTTTTCATCCCGTTTGTGGCAGTTGATGTTGAATCAGTAGAATTTCTGTCACAATTAATTCATGTAGTTTCATGTCTTTGTCAGGCAAAGGCAGAGCAGAGGGAGAAAGAACAAGAGCTGCAGGACATGAATGTCTTACTGCAGTCTGTCCAAATGGAGAGAGACCAGGCAGTCAAGGTGAGAATCCACATTTCCAGCACTACAATAAATCGCTAAAAACTCTTTTAGCATTCCGGTATGTTTTTTACCTCGTGTATACAAACAAAACTTGTATAAACAAGTTTAAAGATGTTTTAAGTATTTTGACATCTGTCACTCATTGTGTGCTGGATATAGTGCACATAATCCAACTGTTACCATGTGCCCGTCCTGTGACTATTTTGTTTTTGGCCTTGACTTTTGTATGACCTGAAAGCTATGATGGCCTTTGTGTTTGGCCTTCTGCTCATCAGACTGTAAGGGTAAAGACACACCAGGGAGCTGATGGGTCCGTTGCTACTGTTAGCTGGTGGCTCTGTGACAGAACAAAGTAGGCTGAAATGTTGGCTTCATGTCAGTTCAAGTTAAATAATGAAAAAAATGTGACACACAGGGCACTACACCAAATGCTGATCCTCTGGCATCAGAGCAGATCCGTCACATGCAGGAGCAGAACAGCGTCCTGCGAGCCGTGGTGGCTCAGATGAGGCAGGATATGGAGCACCTCGGTCACCCCACAGTCCAGACGGAGGTGCAGCATCCAGGAACGCTCGATGCCATGTCCACCAAAGGTGGAGCTGACGCACAGCACGCTCCTTACCTACCAGCTTTACCCACCCAACCTGCTGCTGTCTCCTCCAATGTCTCCCACGCAGGTGTGGACAGTGCTTTTGTTCATTTTGTGTGAGAATATTGGGTTTTAAACATATATGGTTAATTTTTCTACACAAGGTCAGCTTTTTAGACAGACTATTCTATTATATTAATAGATATTGCATTCTGGTCTAGACTAGATGTCAATACCAATTACATTTTGCATCAACTTTAAAATGTTTAATTTTTTTATTTATTATTAATTAGTCTTCTAAGAATGGGGGAAAATGAATTGTAGAGTATTTATATTAAAGAAAAACTACTTTTTAAAATGATCTGGGATTATGGTGTTGAACATGAACACAGTGAAATAGGTGGTCCCCAGCTAATTTGAGTTTGAGACCCCTGATCTAGAAACTCCCTGGTTTTATCTTTGGCTTATGTTTAGCTGGCTTTTGGTTTTTTTAGCGGTGTTCATGGCACAATATTTCTTTCATGGCCATCAACACACCGAGTGCTGTTGGTTGTGAATGAAAAAGCTTGAACTGACACCTTGTTCTCAGTTCACTGTGCCAACATTTACTGAATATCATACTTGAAGAGCTGATCATAGGGTTCACCTTGGAGGCCAGCCATTGTTGGAGGCAGGGGCCCAGCATGCTTTGCACTATCATAAATTCACAACTGTACAAGGCTGTTGACTGTCATAAACCTGGCATAAAGTGTGTTTCCTGTGAAAATTCATTTAATGATTTTATTTTTTTATTTTTTTTAGTAAATTCATTAAAAAGTGTATCAGTGACAGAGCAGCCCAGCAAAGATCTCCATCCAGAAGCTGCCGTTGCTAATATCATGGACAAGGTAGGAAAAGAAGGAAATAAACTGGTTTAGGTTATGTTTGGTTAATCCAAATGTCTGCAAATATATTTAGAGCATAATGCATGTTTTACTATAGTCCACAAATATTCTCTCCCACAACGTATTCCAAGTCGAGTTAACCATGGCTTGGATGAAGTTCATTATAAGGTGGTGTTATAACCTTCAGATGCCAACATTCATCTTATTTTCCCTCCAGAATGCGCTCTTACATGAATGCGCTCTTACATCAGCTGCGAGAGGAGAACACATTTCTACGACAGCAGCTGTCCACAGGTCTTTTTGAAAATGTCCACGGCACAAAAGACAACAATTACCCTGGGTTGCGTAAGAGGCTGAAACAGGCAGCTTCCTGTATCGTCCGTCTGAGCAAAGACAAGCAGCATCTGATAGAGCTGGGGAACCGACTGAGGGCCCAAATCACCACAACTGGACAACAAGGTAAAAATAAGAGGGGAAACGAGCAGTACCTCTGCAAAAGTCAAGTCGAGTTTGATGCTGTGGATTTGGCAGATCTTGCAGATTTAGAATCTGAACATTAAGATTTCAGTACATAAACTTCTTTCTTAAAGTAACTACACTGCCAGAGCCAGAGAAGGAGACCTCCACAGAGAAACAAGGAGAGCAGCATGACCGTGTGTCTGACCGTCTGTCTGCTCTGGAGCAGCTTCAGTACCAGCTCACTACACAGGTAAGGGAGTTAATTTAGCTGGTCTTTAAGTATTTTTTACACTTAACTAAACCAGAGGCAGCATATTGTACCTGAGGTGTGTAAAAATGTATAATTGATATACTGTATTTATAAAGGGTTACTGTGCCCTGTTTTAGTCCATTAATTAATTTTTAGAGAACATACTGGCATTAGTCACAAAGGCTGATAAAAATGGAAAAAATAAATTAAATTAGAATAATTTAGAAATTCATTGTTAAATACTGCTGGCCTCAGGGCAACAGTGTTGTTGTGTGAATGTGTCCTACACATGGCGAACACGTCCCACTTTACTAACAAGCTGACACCTTTCAAGAGATCCTCTATGTAGCATGATTGTTAATCCTGCTCTTCTAAATCGCTTTGTTCTACTAAACGTGTAAATGTGTGAATGAAGCCTAAGGTGGAACAACTTTGTGCAATACCAGCCTTCACCACCAGATGACAGGCTAGCTCTATCTTAATGTGCCTGTGCTATCAGGAGCTGCAGTACACGCTTAGACAGACGGATGCAAAACAGATTCTTTCTGGAACCAACAAACAAGACCCGGCAATAAATGGTTCCACAGAAAACCCGTGGAACGAGGTTCGAAGAACCACACACACCGCGGAGGTAAGAACATAGTTTTTAAAACTTTGTTAACTAATGAGCGACAACAGCAGGGGTTCACAATTTACTCCGAAACCTTAATAGTTAACTGTTAAAATGAGTTATTTTTGGGGCAGCAAAAAATCATTGTTCCAGTGACAGACAGATACAGAGTAATATTGAATTATTATTATAACTTTTAAAACCCTGTAAGATGCCGTCCTTGTATTCTTTACTCTTTTGACTTGTTTCTAGTTATTTTAGCTAACCTCTTAACTTTAAATACTATATCCTCTCTTAACTGTGTCGCCATATTTTTGTTATTATATAGTATTTTGGCAGATTTGTTCATACATTTATTATTTCTCTATATTCCAAGTCAAATTATCCTGGTCCTAGTCTAAGGTCCATTTTAGTTTGCTTTTATCAAAGTTTAGAACACCTGGAAGAAAAATAATTGACTCCTCACTTCTTCGTCCGTAGGGCCACAGGAACAAGGAAAACTGTGCCTTGCCCAGCCAATCACAAGGCTCATTGGAAACAGGGCCTCAGCTCCACACAAACACCTCCAAGTTACAGTTTTCATCGCTGGAATCACTGCATTCTCTAAAGGAGCTGTGGGCAACACTTGACTGTGCAAAGAGTTCCTCTTCATTCTCAGAAGGTGACAATTCTTTGCTGCTATTAGAAAAGATTGTATTATTTGGTACA